TTTTAAACATTTTCGAAATTGTCAAAACGCCGTACAAATTTTTTATCCCAATGTCTACACAAACAATCTCACCAAACTAAGCAAAATTATATATTTATTTGTAAAAACCAGCGATGCCCAACTAACGAAACGATGTAATTTCGTTTTGTGAATATGAAAATAAACTTAAGGAAAAAATTTTGTTTCGTTTCGGCGCCATATTATCCTTACGAAATGTAATTGTTAATGTTGAAACCGCACAAACTCATGGTTAATGTTAATTTTAAAATGGCTGCTGCAATGATATTAACAGCGAACTTCAATTTTAATCTTTCACATTAACTGTTAACGATTTAACATTGTCTGCTAACGGCTTAACATTATCTGTTAACGATTTAACATTGTCTGCTAACGGCTTAACATTATCTGTTAACGATTTAACATTGTCTGCTAACGGTTTAATATTATCTGTTAACGATTTAACATGAACAACAGCATTTCGTTTCGGTTAAAAACGAGTTAAAATTTATTTAAATAACTACTGTTATCGTTACATTTCGAAATGTTTCAAGAGATTCCATTGAATTTTTTTTGGTTAACGCAAAAATTATAAATATGATGCAGTTTTGGTAAAAACATTATGTTAATGTAATATTTATCGTATTACAAATTCGCAATCACCAAACATTCGCTGTGCTTAAAGTTAATTAGAGTTAATAAGGTTTTCTAACTAATTTTAATTTCGCAAGCCCATATGTATATGTGTGCATACACATATGCAATTACAATTCATAAAAGTATTAAAAATTTGTGTAGTGAAATTCGTTAGAACATCACTCGGCCATAATCGTATACCGTCAACTGTTTATCAAATGCCGCTAGTTGTGCACTTACACGCTTACACAGACTTTATAATCTTCACAATGTAATCGCATACATTTAACGCAGAAAGAAAAAAATCACACAAAGAGCCGTCGATATGAGCAACATGTGAGAAATTCATTATTTCGCTTAAGTATTCACGCAAACAAACAGATATACTCGTACTACTGGTACATGTAAAGTGCATTTTTCTTCGTGTCATGTCTTCCCTGTAGGAAAAAATACTAGTTTCAAATTTTTACACCAGCTAATACTAAATAAGAACTACTCGACTATGCATCAGCTACATACTAGTTGTATACCAGTATATTTAGGACTGTTGAAATTTTACATCACCAAAGAGGAAAAAAAAGTACGGCAGTTGAAACTGCTAATCATTCGGCTAACGTGTCGTTGGGGAGTTTGGCGACATACAACGCACTTCAAAAGATCGTGCCAGAAATTTGAAATTATTATTATTCCCGTTACTGATGAGCCACTTGACATTTGCTAACAAATAGTGAACTGGTATAATTTCATCTTTGAAATACCAGTATTCAACTGAAAGTTTTACATATTTCTTTGGCTCTTCACTGCAGAATACTTACGAGTATAATACGAATATATGCACATATGAGCATACACACATACTCGTAGCAACTCATGTGGTTATTTATTTTGCTACCAGCTCGGATTGAGGCAACGATTAAATGCATTTTAATTTAAAATGTAATTAAGTTTGGAGCACCGCAGATGTCTTTCACTTGCAAGTGAGTGCTAAAATCATACCGGCATACAAATGTAGATATGTATGGAGGTTTAGTTCTAAGGGACTAACAAAAGTTCGCAACAATACTTGAAACTTAAAAATGAAAAAATATAGTGTCACTATAAATTTATCCAACACACCAAAGGCTTTTAACCAAGAGAATTGATTTTTCAATATTTATAGAGCAACAAGGTCATCAAATTTGAATAGCCGAAAGTTTGATATCTTTCATAAACGAAGTTAAAGCTACTTATCTGAACAAGCACTAACAACGTTTTACATAACATATGAACTCGTATGCATATTATTTTTCTTCTTATTGATTGGCGTGGGCACCGCTTACGCGACTATTGCCGAATCAACAATGGCGCGCCGTTCGTTCCTTCTCTTTGCTGTTGGAAAAACAAAGTGAAACCAAGTCGCTCCCCATCCGATACTTCCAAAGGAGTGCAATCCTTCATCTTCATCTGTTGCCACCAGCGGTTACTGCATCGAATATCTTCGTTCCATTGTGAACAGGAATGATGAGTGACTTGAAGGGTTTGGTTTCGATCCAAAGTATCAGCTGTTGAAAAGAGAGTACAAGAAAGTTCTAACCCACAAGCCGTAAATACGCCGACTGTTGGTTTGACGACACGCTATTTTTTTGTTTAGTCCTCATTTACTACCAGATCCGTGAAGAGCTAACGGCGCTATTAAGGCCTATGATATCAACGACTCTTATAGAAAATTCCTTGTTTATTTAGCTCCATTCAAGAGTATTCCTGTCTGAAAACTCATTTGGTGTCCTTTCCAATTTTGACTGCGCCTCTGGTGTTTTCCAGCTTTAATACCAAATTCAGACTTAGCGGCGTAAAGGCAACTCCTTTTCGTGCTGTCGAAGCTTGCTTTGAAATCGACAAGGAGGTGCTGTGTGTCGATGCTCTTTCCAAGGGTCTTTTTCAAGACATAGCTCATAGAGAATATCTGAGCAAGGGTCAATTTACCAGGTCTTAACCCACACAGATAAGGTCCAACCGTCTGTCTGCTTAGGTACAAATGTGTAGTCGTAATGAGTCAAAAATAGCGAACTTTTATTCTGCTTTTATGTACACAAACATATGTACATATGTATAAAAATATTTGCTTAAATAAGTAGGTTCCAATTTTTTCCATGACATACTGGATGTACATAAATACATATATTTATAAATAGGTATTATACGCATAGAGACATACATACATATATACATGGATGTCTACCAGTATTTCGAACAATACAAACATATATACATATGTATAAATGAAAGAGTTAGATGAATGAATTTTATAACTACTAAACTGTCATCATCAACTCCAACATGCAGTATGTATTGTATGTAATGGTAGAAAAGCAACAGTAACTGCAGGTATGTGCTTATATGTATATGCATGTATGTCACTCCTATATTGAAGCAATTTTCCACTACCGTCTCCCACCTTGGAGTTTGGAATTTTTTCATTCTTTGCCATTCATTGCATCGTATTTCTTTGTAAATATGTCACAGCTCACTTTTTTGTGTTTTTTATGCCACACGCCTTTTCCAGTAATTCATTTCTCGGCTAGCCCGTTTACTTGCAGTATTTTTTTTCAACATTTTCTTTTCATTTTTAATCGCCATAAATCGTCATGGGCAACATTTTCAAAATTAAATGAAGGCATTCAGCGAGCTCGCGTACTTGCAATCTTGCAGCAGCAATCCTTTTAAATTGCATACATGTACACATTTGTATGTAAACATGTATGTGTGTAAGTATATACAGGAGCGAGAGGATTGTTTTGTTTATTATCCGTCCGCTTTTGCTGCCCATAATTCGTTTACCTACACCGACCTACCGACTTGACACGTAAGTGAATAAAGTGTTGCTATGGAATGTGCCGTTCGGGAGTAAAAGGCGACATTTTTAAGAACACATAACTCAATTTAAGACTCTATAAAAAATGTATGAATAAATATCACAAAATAATTGTTCCCTGTTAAATATTGTTTAGTTAAATAAAAACTATTTTCGAATTTTGTCTACAAAACCACTCCTCAAAACGCTAAGGAATAAAGGGTTTACCAGCGACTGCGTCTGGACGGAATTTGAAGATGTATTTTATGATGTTTTAATTTCATTTTTAAGATATTTAAGTTAGAGTAATACATAAATCATTATTTAATTTTTTTTTTAATTTTTATAAAGTGTGAGTTTCCGTACCTTTTTGAAGAAGAAAGCACAGAAAATTAAAATTTCGTGGGAAATGTTTATTGACACTAAAAATAACATTGACACTTATTTTTGAAGATTATCTCTTTCAAATGTTGGCCGCGGCTACTTCTCAGATGGCCCATCCGTTGAGTCCAATTTTTGAGGATTCCTTCGATTTCGACTGGCTACTGGCGAATGGCACGCGTGATGTTTTACTCCAAAGCCTGCATCGAAGCGGAGTTGTTCGCATAGATTTTAAACTTTACTTATCCCCACAGGAGAAAGTCTAACGGTGTAATATCACACGAACTTGGTGGCCAATCGACCGGCCCAAACCGGTCTAATCTCAATAAGCGAATTCAGTGATGCGATGTGTGGGAAATGGCGCCCTCTTGCTGGAACCAAATTGACGGTTACGTTCTCACCAGCATCATTTTCAAAGAGATATGCACCGGCGATTCCACTGACGCACGAATAACACAAACCGTGTTTTTTTAGATTCTATAAAAGGACTATGAGGACGTCAAAAAGATCTTCCTGGAGAGATTTTTGCAGTGATATGGAAGGAATGGCGGAAACTACAACACTAAGGGCGATTAAGTCTAAGTCCTCAAACTCGGTGGGTTTTCTTTAAAAACAGGGCAACACCAATACTACCTCTGAAAAGGATACTCACGAAATGATAATCAATGTAATAAAAACCTTCGGCCCATACAATACAGCTGGAATGGACGATATCATCCTGAACGACATGTCGCCACGATAATTTCGCTCGCCTCGAGCTGAAGTTGTGAACGATTCTTAGATCAAAAACTCGTTCAATACCATCGATCAACCGCCGTTTTCACAGGATTTGGCCCCATTCCTTTTATTGGAATAAAAATAACGCCGGCTTTGCCTTGCACGGTATTTTAACTCGAAACTCCTTTGTAAGTTGCAGGCCGTCGGCCGCGCTTTGGTTTGTAATCCTGGACCCGACCAACACCGGCTTTGAAGTATAAAAAATGTGTTTTTAAATTATAATTGTGTACATACAACCCTGTGCAGTACTGTATTTTTATTTTTATGCCATATGGCAACACCCACTTATTGTTATTGTTGGACCTTTCTCTTTCAAACCAAATCGAAATAATATACAAAAATAAAATAATATTTTACTGCTAACCAAATAAAATAAAAATACAACAATTTTAGTGATCGCAGGCGAACAGATTAAAGTTGGTATTTAGCCTAAAAAAATAATAATCACAATTACTTTAACTCGAAGTGTACCGTTTTTTTCGCGTTCTTCATTTTATGCTGTATTAACCAGGCAATCGTTCCACCTTTTCAAGCGTGGAATTTCCTTTCACTCAGAGCAAATAAAACAAAAATTTACAAAAGTGTGCCCGCTAAAGTTTGAAGCGTAAAAAATTTCACAAATCACTCATAAGTCAAATTTCAAATACAAGATAGAACTTCGAAATTGATGCGTGCAACACCAACAACAACGCCATACTCGTAATATCGCTCCTTGCCAGCATAAGTGCAAATGACAGGCAAACGTTTTGCGTGAGCAGCAAAAACCGTATTTGAAAGCAAAGTCATTGGAAGAAATATAATACATATGTATATACAACTGTACATACTCGTATATACAATAGAAATTTGTGTGCGTTTGTTTCTGTTAGTTTGCAAGAGCAGAAAAGCGTTAAAAATTGCTGTCATAAATTAATGAGAATGTGCGCAAGCCGTCAAACAAATAAAGACATCGTGCGCACACGCACGCATTCATACATACTCGTACATACATACAATACTAATGCACTTGCAAACGAGCTAACCAACAAAAACAAACACACAAACAAACAAACAGAAAAACAATAAAAGCAGCCAATACGAGAGATATAAATGAAAGTGAGTGAAAATTGAATTGAAATTTCAGAATTGCATCATTACTCATTTACAGATGCCACCGCAGCGGCTGAAGTAATTTCCGTGGCCTCGCCGTAACCCCTCAATTCACCGCTCTTCTCATCACACTGGCAATTGAAATTGTTTTGCTGTCATAGGACATCAATCGCTCATAACGCGTTTGCCGTTTGCAGAAAGTGCATCGTTTCACATGCAAATGTTTGTTTGTAAGTCATCCCGAATCACTCATTCGTATATAATGGTTGCTCATACGTCACATAAATCAAATCTTCGGCGCAGCGCCTCCTTTGCGGAGTGCCAATAACTCCGAATGTTATGCACCAGTGGGAATTTCAAGCAAAAAAAAAAAAAACAAAAGCAACAGTGAACTTTAAGTAAAAAGTGGGTACTTCCTTTTTTCAAATTTACTCTTTCCGATTAATTGAGTGTCACTGTCTAAGTCAGCGCTGACTGTAAGGACATTATTGCAATTAATATACTGTCAGCCGAAATTCGTCCTTTTTCAAATTAACAGTATACGCTTGGCAAAAACTTTAAGTTATATGGGAAACCTTTGCCTTTATATGGGGTCTTTATGGATACTAAACAGAACTTCTAGGTGCATACACATGCTCTACTTCTTCTTCTTCTTCATTGGCTGGGGTACCACTTACGCGATTATAGCCGAATAAACAATAGCGCGCCATTAATTCTTTTTTTTCGCTGCTTGGCATCAGTCAAACTAGTTCGCAGCCTACCTGATTCTTCCAATGTAGTGGAGATTTGCTCTTCCTTTGCTTCCACCAGCGGATACTGCATCGAATATTTTCATATCTGGAGCGCGTTCATTCATTCAACAGACACGACATAGCCAGCGTAGCCGCTTTCGCTGAACTATACCAATATCACCGTATAACTCGTACATCTCACCATTCCATCGCCTGCAGTATGCTCCGTAGCCAAGGTGCAAAGGACCATAAATCGTTCGCAAAACTTTTCTCTGGAAGACTCCCAAAGCCGAGTCATGAGATGTTGAAATTGCCCATGTTTCTGTGGTATATAGTAGGATGGGTATGTTGAGCTACTTGACGAAATTATCTGCGACCCCGGAGTTATGACTGTCAACAATGACTTGGGAGGCAAGCCGTAAGTGGGTTGACTCTTCGCTTGATGACAGGAGATATTTCGTCATGTTTTCGTTCACTACCAGACCCATTCGCTCCGTTCCTTTGTATAGCTTTGAGAGGGCAGGACGAACGCGCTTATTAATACCTGTAATATCAAGCCATTGGAATACGCCAGCAGTTGTGCACTGTTATATAGGATTGTGCCTTGCCTATTTACCTCTTCTGCAGCTCGCATAATTTTCTCCACCAAAGGGATCACACAATAAAATGTCACCCTGTCTGAAACATCCTTTGAAACAGAGCGGCTCGGAAGGGTCTTTCCCAATTCTGACTGCGATTCTGGAGTTTTCCGTAGTTAACTTGCACAGCCGTATAAATTTAGACTTAGTATCAAGTTCATACAAGCGACGTAGAAGCAGGTTCCTAATGTGTTGCGAAAGGTGGATTAAAATCGTTAAAGGGTGATATATAACAATTTCTTCTCACGGGTATTTTCCAAGTTTTATCGCTTCTAAAGCTCCACTGCTAAGGCCCAATATATGCTAAAGAGAACCTTATATGCGATATTTAGGAGACTAATCTTATGGTAATTGACGCAGACCACATACTCGTACATGTTACTTGTAAAAATAAATAGTTTTTTATAAAAATAGATCAGACTATCATCACCAACGGCCGCAAGGTAACATTACGTACTGCCATTCTGAACACCAGGGTCCGAGTTCCGGTTCGACCAACATCCAGAATTATAGAAAACGAATTTTTCTATTTGCGGTCGCCCCTCGGCAGGGAATGTCAATGCATCTGAATGTATTTCGGTCATGACAATCAAAACACCCCATAAAAAAAACCGTCCGCCCTTCGGAGGAGGTATAAACTCTAGGCCACTTCATTTGTTAGAAAAACATCATGATGCGAAACCACAAATTGGGGTGCGAGCTCGGCTACTATCAAACCTAAATTAAAACAAAAATTTGTTTCCTGAAATCAATTTCTTTAGAGCGAATCTGTCGGGTATTAGATACCCGAAAACATTGACAATCAACACATGATATATTTTATTTAATAGCGTAAGCCTTTCAAAGGTAAGCATTACAATAAGATTATTCTGATTACTTTTTTCAGTATGGGAACAGCGAGCTTAGTTTTTTAATCTAGAATCTAACAAAGACCCCCAATATGTGCTGCAGTTCGTACAGATTTTTCACTTCACTTCTGATATATTAGCACACAGAGATTAACCACCGACAGATATTAACCAAAAGACCGTAACTGAAGACTGTTTCGAGTCGATGTTGGGTCCTCGGAGTATACGCACGTCAAGCACACTGGGACATGTCTTCCGTCTATTACAATACGATCGATCTGGTTTTGTGTTTTTCGATCAAGAGACAACGAATAAGCTTGGTGAATTTTCTTGTGCTGGAATCTAGTGCTACAGACAACCATATTTCGAGCCCCGGCGAAGTCGCTCAGCTTCAACACATTTAGGAATGTTTCGTCGTGGACGCCAACCGTGGTTTTAAGTCGCCAAGCATAATTTTAACGTCGTGGCGGGGACAGCGTCCTTTTCTTCCGTCGGGGTGTAGGTGTAAATCAATGCAAACGGACCGGAAGTCGTGAGCTGCTTGAACCGTATACTAAATAATCGTTTCAGGCCACTCCAGGGTGAATGTCAGTCAAAGAGTTTTTTCACTTTCGTTAACCTCTATACATGGCCCCATCCCCAGAATTAGTAGGAAAGAATGTTGCAACTTACCCAGTGCTTTTTTTACAAAAATTTACTTATATAATTTTACCTTATAACGACTCTTATACCGAAAATTAGTTAGATTCAATCGTTTAATTATATGTTCAGCAGCGAACTCAGACCTCCGTCATTTATTACAACTGACAATCGCAGGAAACCATCAAGCATATGGCGACCAATAGAAAGCATACGCCACTGAACCATACCACCAGGTATTAAGTTAAATACCGGTCTTGGTACGCGCTCACTGTGTAAATTAGTTACTTGCGTTGTATTGGTAAATGGTCGACAGTTGGGCTGGCTGACCTTGCAAGTGATACTCGCAGTTTCTCGCAGTATCCATTTATACATATTAGTGTAGGTGATAGTTTCTAGTTGTTGTTGTAAATATTTAATCTTTTTGCTGCTACTGATGCAGTATCGACTATTCCACATAGCAGAGGTAAGTAGTTGCTTCATTGCCACTGTGTGACAAACGCTAGTGGCATTGTAACCTGTGTGTCGTAACTGTACACAATTCATTGATGTTGCATGACAATGGCTACTATGGCTGCCATGTTACTACTACATATACACCACCATTGTCAGCTCTGCCAATTCAGGTTGATGTGTGTATGTATGTGTGAGTGCGTGTGTACGAATATGTATAGGCAAGCCGGCGACAAATGTCAATTTGGTGATTTATATGATCGTCACGTTTCCCTAGTCATCGTCGGTTGGAGTCGTGTTAATCGGGTCGTATACGCAACAGTTAATAGCCAACAGCAATAACTGTACATCAAAAACAGCAACTCCTACACGTAGGAGTGTAGAGCGTAGAGTGGGCAGTAGTTTCAGTTTAAATTGCCACAAGCCACTCGTACATGCGTTACACCAGTTGCTCTGGCTATATAAGTATTATTGGTTTTGGAATTTTACGGAAATTCGATTTTCAGCAGAAATTGCACTTTTAAACGCAGGCAGAAGATCTTCGCTTCAATTAACTCGCTGGATTTTATGTGAATTTCTCTTAAATGATATTTAATTACAGGCAGCGCCACCTACGCTGCATTACAAAATTCTGCTTTAGCGAAATTCAGTATTTTTAATTCTAATGTGTTTTTCGCATGAAGTTGCCTTCAGCAATGACTTGTTGCACACGCCTCTGTGTATCGACAAACGTCAGTCAACAAACACAAGGAAGGTTCGACGTCGAAAAGCTGCAATAACAACAGATTTTCGAGCGATTTTCTACTCAGCTTGCGCACCTGCTTTCTGAGAGCACTCATCAGCACCTTGATATAAGGGAACTGTGGAACGGCATTTCAAACTCCCTACATACCGCCGCCACGTAAACAATGAGATTTCGGCAATGCCAGAAAAAGAGCTGGTACGATGAACAATGCCGAAATGCGTGAGTACGACGAACTTGAGAAAGTGGTCGACAATTCTATGAAAAGATAAGGCGACTTACGGAATTTATTGGAGGGAACACTTCTGTATCCTGCTGAAAGGCAGTGAAAACGAAATACCCGGAGATGGTGAATCCAAAATCCCAATCGATGACGGTGGAACAGACGGTGCGCTACCTGACTATGTCGTACTTCGAATAGCAATCGCCCGCTTAAGAAACAACAAAGTGTCGGGAACTGATGGCCTACCGGCAGAACTATTAAAACAAAGTGATGAAGAGCTGCCGAGATGCATGCATCAGTTACTTTACAGAATATGGTCGGACGAAAGCATGCTCAACGATTGGAATTTAAGTGTGCTCTGCCCAATCCATAAAAAGGTGACCCCACAGTCTGCGCCAACTACCGTGGGATAAGCCTTCTTAATATCGCATATAAGGTCCCATCGAGCATTTTGTGTGAAAGATTAAAGCCCACCGTCAGCAAACTGATTGGACCTTATCAGCGTGGCTTAAGACCTGGTGAGTCAACCATTGACTAAGTATTTGCCATGCGCCAAATCTTGGAAAAGACCCGTGAATAGAGAATCGACACCCACCACCTCTTCGTCGATTTTAAAGCCACCTACGACAGTACGAAAAGGAGCTACGCCGCTATGTCCGAATTTGGTATCCTCGCAAAACTTATGCGGCTGTGTAAACTAATGCTGGACAACACTAGAAGCGCAGTCAGAATTGGGAAAAACCTCTCCGAGCAGTTCTAAGGTTTCAGACAGGTTGACTCTTTATCGTGTGATTCCTCCAATTTGATGCTGGAGAGAATAATATGAGTTGCAGAGCTGAATAGAGAAGGTACAATATTCGACAACCTCAACAACCGCGCCGTGAATTCTACTTTCTCCATACTTGATGAAGAAGCGAAGCGAATGAGTCTGGTAGTGAACGAGGACAAGGCGAAAT